TTTATTTATAGTCAGGATTTCCAGGGAAAGACTGGCTGTGCTGGCTGTTACAGTGTTTTAGTTGTTCATTTTAAAAATCCACTATTGCCTATTTCCTCTCAGGGTGTACTGCTTTTTCATATAGTAGATTTCAGAGAACATAATTATTTTTTATTTTTTCATACCCATCTTTGTTCAAACACGTAAAAGGAATTACTTTTCTTGATTACCTGTTAAAATGCTATTACACTAATTTTCTGAAACTAAAATCTGTTTTTCTCTGTATGTAGCTTTGATTTTTCTAAAGCACTTCTTGCTTTTATTTACATCCAACATTTCTTGATAGTATTATTTTATAAGGAACGTAAGGAATAATATATGTTTGGAATGACTTTTCAGGGCAAATGGTCTGGGATGCTGCTGGGAGAGGGGCCAGAATTCTGCCATAAGCTGGGGATGGGACCCTTGTCACATCTTGTGTGACAGCTTCCCCCCAGAATAAATACCTGGCTTTTACATCATTTACCCTTTGGTGTTGCTATTGCAAGTGCTGTGGTTCTCTTCTTCTAGTAGCCCTAGCCAGACCTTGCTTTCTTTGTGTTCTACCAGAACCCTGAGATGGAGAATCCAGAACCTTTGTAAATATAAATATTCTTACCTTATACACCTATATGGATGCGTACATATTTAAGTATCTAAAGGACAGTTCACCAAGGAGAAGAATCCAGGCTCTTCTTGGTGGTGCCAGCCAATAGGGCAAGAGGAAATAGAAATAAACAGATGCACGGGAAGTTCCACAAAATTCATCCCCTACACAAGAAAGAACTTCTTTGTGTAGGTGCCCAGCAGGTTGCCCAGTGAAGGTGAGTCTCCCACACTGGAGGACCATCTGTATGATGCATCTGTGTACAATTCTGTACCATGTGCTCTAGGAATACCCTGCTTGAACAGGGAGGTTGGACCAGATGACCCACTGACATGTATTCAAAAGGACAGATCTCTAAGTATAACACTAGTTTTAATAAAAATAGACAACTGTCTGTGCAATTTTCACTCCTACTTTTGCCCTTTCCTGTTGTAGTTTTGAATTAGAAGCCACATCCTCCATCTGTTTTCTGGTTTTGGTGCATAATAATTTCTTTGTATCAGTACCTAGGGATCATAACTGGGACAACCCAGATTTCATGGTTTAAGAGTCCAAAGGCTTGAAGCTTTCCAGTCACATGGAAATTTATTGTGAACTTTGATGTTTTCTTCAAGTTGTTGAAAATCTATTGCTTCCTAAATTGTGTGTGTACGTGTATGTATGTGCATATGTCCTAAACTGATATATAAGCAGAGCCTGATTGTCCAAACTGTGATTTTTTGCTTATGGAAATGATGAATGTAATAGCCAGTACTGGATCACTGTCCTGGGTCATATTATCAGAAAACGATGCTATGAGAATTAGAAAAATGATGGCAATGTCTGCTCTGGGGACGTTACTGTGAGCAAACGCTGCCTGTGAGGCCTGAGGTGTATTTCTCCCTGATGTACTTTGTTTATGACTCCTTACAAAAATGGGACAGCTAGCACTTTGTTTATTAGCCTCAAATTGGGTACTATTTTAAATATATATATATATAGCCCCCTTCTAAGCACAGTTAATTCACTTTAAAACATATCATGTCATGGACACAAATATCTATTAAATTGAGACTATAATGATTATTAGTTGAAGGAGAATATTTCTAAATAACTTCATGATTAGAACAAGAATAAATGCATGGGGATGAGGACAAATACAGAGTAACAGGAAAGAGAACAATTTATTTTTTCACTTTAATTAAAGCTTAACAAAGTAAAGCCAAAGTGTGTCCAGAGTTCAGAATCCTCATGGGAATCTAAATATTTTAGAGAAAAAGATTTGTCATCTCTGGCTAAATGAATGGTATAATTAGCCACCAGGCAACATACCATGAAATGTCACTGCAGAAAAAGAATTCTTTCAAGATTCTGAGGGTGAATTATTTTTGAAACATTACATTAATATTTATTTCTTTTCCTCAAACCTTCTTTTGTTGATGCTGTTGTTTTGTTGCTTGTTGTTTAAAAACTGTGGATTTAACATGGTAGTTATACTGCCCCTTTTTGTAGAAGATTTGTTTTCTATAAAAAGCCTCATTTTCTACTAAGACTTAATTGGACCTAAGTTGTGATTCCTCTGTGTAGTTTTGTACAGTTCTTCCAGAAAATGGGATAATATATTCCATGAAAAGGTGCAAGACAATTACATATGTTTTTACATTAGTTAACTAAACACTTTTCCTTACAGTTTACACTTACAGAAAAAAGGGAAATGCCAACTAGATTAATTTTAATTAAAAATTTTAAAGGACCATTTCTGATTCAATTGGAAGAAAACTGACCTTTTCACCACTGGTCACATCTCAGAAGTGAGTTTTCTGGTTCTAACTCTTTTCTAAGTATGAGGAAAATACAATATTATTATGTTTTTTCCAGATCTGCTGGAGCACCTTCTTGTGTTTTGTTAGATAATTTTCCACTAGCATTTCTACTTGCATTTCAACACAAAATGCTTTATTTTTTATTTCTGAGTTAATAAAAAGCAGTGTAAAGGCAAGCTCTTCCTACTTTGAGATTAATGTGTGTGAGAATAATACATATGTTGATCATGCTACTTATTTTTCATTCTTTGTCTAAATTTATATTGTTGAAGGGTGTGTCATTACTACATTGCCAAATTATTCCTTTTGAGAGGAAAAGAAAATTTATATATAAGCTTAGATTTCTTAACATAAATGACTGTCTTTTGCAGAGCAATTTGAGACTCCTACGCTGAATAAGGATGTTTAGGGGTATATTTTCTGGAACAGGAAGTTTATCCTGTAGGTTCTTTGAAACCTACTTCCTAGTCAATTGGAATCTGGGAACAGGAAGAAGAAGAAAAGCAGAAGAAAAAAACATAAGAAATTGTGCTTACTCATTTTTAGACTCAGTTCAGGTATGAGTCATGGATGGTATATATCACCATAGACATATCGTTATGATGAAATTCAGACTAACACCAAAAAAGACATCATTAATCCTAGGTGTTTTTCCTTTTACTTAGATATCCTACTCTTTATTAATAATTTTCTTTTTAGTATATCCTGCCAAAATACTCTCAAGGTTTTGTTACAGATTGATTTTTCCAGCTCTTAAAAAATATTTGCATTCTCATCTGCTGGAGTCCAATAATAGCAAGAAAGAAATACTCGGTTTTGAACTATGCAAGTATGAAACCATAATTGAACATCTTTGCTCATTTGTTCAATGACTAATATATTAATTTTCAGGTTTATCTTGAATTAAAGTATTAAAATTTAGTCTTTCCTTTAAACACACACACACCCCCACACATGCCCCCCCCCCCCAAA